TCAAGATTTAAAAGTATTATTATCAAATATCCCAAAATTTATGACGAAAAATTTTAAAATTTCTTTCAGGCAGTATTTAATTTTGTTTAAATTACACTACTTAAGTTTCAAAGGAAAACTGATTGGACTGTTGTTGTTGGAGGCTCTAGGTAGACTGAAATTTTGAATCTTTACGTATGATATAAGTGGATATTAATTAGAGACTTAAAAATTGGCTTAGTATCTAGGGTAAATTGGCAGATTTTGTTTAACAGGCGTGGCTAAGTTGGTTGACTATAGATGATAAGCGTGGTTAAGAAATAAAACCTAAATTTTTATAGACCAGTCCTGAGAGCCAATATTGACCACTCCCATTGTTTAAAATCAACAAGCAACTTAGTAAGGTTTATTGTCCGAAATCAAGTAATTTAATAATGCCAATGAAGGAGCTTACCTATCCCCTAGACTACAGTCAAATAACTTAGACATGATTGTTGTCCATCGTCAGGCAAATTATCCACGCCCATTGTACCAAGTCAAGCGACTTAGCCACACCTATTGTCCGAAATCAAATAACTTAGTCACGCCCATTGTACACAAATTAAGCAACGATTTTTTCGAAGTTCGTTGTACTTTTGTGGTGGAACTCCATTATCAAAGGATGAATATCAACAAATCAACCAGCTTAGCTCTTTGGCTGCATTTAAGTAACTTAGACACTCCAATTGCCCAAAATCAAGCAACTTAGGAACGCCCATTGTTCAAAATCAAGTGACTTAGTCACGCACATTGAAAAATAATAAAGCAACTTGGTCACGCCCGTTGTTCAAAACTAGCTACTACAAACTCCAATTGTCCAAAATCAAGTAACTTTGTCACCCACAAAGTTCAGAACTAAGAAACATAGTCACGCTCATTGTAAATGAACAAAGCAACTTGGCCACCGCCACTGACCAATAGTATAGCAATCAAGTGTCATACTATACAAAATCAAGTAAGTTACAATTAGTCACACCCACTTTAAATTAATAAAGCAACTTAGCTATCATGGCACGGTTGTATCATGCTCAAATCATGGCACGGTCGTTACCCAGAGTTAGTGAACTTAGCCACTCCTACTACCCAAAGTCGAGAACGTTAGTTACGCACATTGAAAAATAATAAAGCAACTTGGTCACGCCCGTTGTTCAAAACTAGCTACTACAAACTCCAATTGTCCAAAATCAAGTAACTTTGTCACCCACAATGTTCAGAACTAACAAACATAGTCACGCTCATTGTAAAGAACAAATCAACTTAACCACCGCCACTGACCAAAATCAAGCAACTTAGACATGCTTACTATACAAAATCAAGTAAGTTATTATTAGTTACACCCACTTTAATTAATAAAGCAACTTAGCTATCATGGCACGGTCGTTACCCAGAGTTAATGAACTTAGCCACTCCTACTACCCAACATCAAGCAACTTAGGAACGTCCATTGCCCAAAGTCGGGTACGTTAGTCACGCACATTGAAAAATAATAAAGCAGCTTAGTCACGTTCGTTGTTTAAAAGCAAGCTACTAGACACTCCACTGCTCAAAATCAAGCTTGGCCACTTAGGCCATTGGCTAAAGTCAAGACACGGCCGTTGTCCAGAGTGAAGTAACTTAGGCACTCATAATGTCCTAAATTAAGTAAATTAGCAACGCAGAAATTTAAAAAAATCAAGAAACCTAATCACACCCGTTAGACCCTCCCTCTGTACAAAATCAAATAACTTAACCAATCCCACTGTACAAAATCAGGCGACTTATTAAGACGAATTATGCCTCTCGACTGAGGTTAGATATACCCATTAACAAAGCAATGAGTCAAATAACTTAACGTTATTGAGCAAGTCAAGCAACTTAGCCACGGCCATTGATCAGAGAAGCAACATAGAGAGCTAAATTTCTAAAATTCTAGGCAACTTTTCTGATAACTTCAAGATGTTTAAGTTTAAGTAGCTCTTTTCAGCGGACTTTTTTTACAGGTTTGGATGAAAATTGTTTTGGCCGGATATTATTACCGTTGCCAACGGCTTGTGATATTTTTTAAAAGTTCCTAGTTCAATGAGAAACCAAATCCTCAGGACACTTTCTATAAAATATCCTTCCCATTTGATTCGGAAACTTTACGAATAACATCTAAGACATTTGATTTATAATTACATAAAAAACAATTACACAAAATTCAGACTTTTAAAGTTTTTTCTTATAAAAGATTCAGCATCTGGAAAGGGTATTTATTTAAAAGAAAAAAACCTTTAGAATCCTTGGTTTCCGCGTAATTTATTTTGATTAAAAATTCGACATGTTTGAAAATCATATTTAGGATTATCCATTTACAAGGTATTTTTTTAAAAGAATTGTCAGATGGAGAAATAAGGATTAATCTAAAAAGGAGCCTGTGACTCTTTGTATTATATTACAAAAAAATTATTAAGAAACTTACTTCAGGCGAAACTTCAAAACAGGGGAAAGAAAAAGGAAGAGCGGTAATCCAAAAAAGTCTATTTTTTTACAATTTTCAACTTCATAATCGAAAAGAATAACACGCTGTCTGTCATAAAGAGAATTTTCCAAAATCTGAATTACCATAAATTCGAAAATAAAAATAAATTTTGTTTTTGTTATGATTATCAATGTGCCGTTTGTAAATATAATAATATTTCTACAAAACAGGGATTAGCAAACAATAGAGTCGAACTGGGTATTATGATTTCTTGAATTTTATATGATCAAGAAAAAAAACTAGATTACCAGATTCAGAAAAATATAATAACATAAAAAAATTAAATATTAGTTAGTGAATTTTTATGAATTTCTGTGTTGGATAGCAGGTGCCTTCTGCTGAAACAATTTTCCATATACGTCCACTTTTAAAAAGGTATCCTTGAGATTTTGACATTTGAAATTTGAATGATGATATTGAAAGATATAATTGGGAATAATAACAATAATAATTTGAAAAAGTAAGGGAATTCTATGAATGTTTAACTTGGATGTCAGGTCTCTTCTGCTGAAATAATTTTCCACACTCTTGTCCTCTTTTAAAAAAGGTTCTTGACATTTGGACACTTGAATTTTAAATGATCATATTGAAATATATAACTGAGAATAATGAAATAATAATTGAAAAAGTAACTGAATTCTATGAGTTTTTAAGTCGGATTGCAAGTCCCTTCTTCTGAAACCATTTCCCAGGCCTTGTCCACTTTTAGATAAAAATCCTGAAAATTTGGACACTTGAATTTTGAATAATGATATGGAAATATATAATTGAGAATGATAATAATTTAAAAAAAGTAAGTGAATTTTATGAACTTTTAAGTTGGATGGCAGGTCACGTCCTTTCTGCTGAAATAATTTTACATACTCTTGTCCTCTTTTAAAAAGGACCCTTGAAATTTTGACACTTGAGTTATGAATGATGATATTGAAAGATATAATTTAGGATAATAACAATAACAATTTAAAAAGTAAGTGAATTTTATGCGTTTTTAAGTCGGATTGCAATCCTCTTCTGCTGAAACTATTTCCCATACTCTTGTCCACTTTTAGACAAATATCCTGAGGATTTTGTACATTTGAATTTTAAAAAATGACATTGAAATATATAACTGAGAATGATAACAATAATAATGGAAAAAAGTAAGTGAATTCTATGAACTTCTATGTTGAATGGCAGTTCAGGTCCCTTGAACTGAAACTATTTTCCATACTCTTGTCCACTTTTAGACAAAGATCCTGAGAATTTTGTACATTTGAATTTTGATAAATGACATTGAAATATATAACTGAGAATGATAATAATAATAGAAAAAAGTAAATGAATTCTATGAACTTCTAAGTTGGATGGCAGTTCAGGTCCCTTGAACTGAAACTATTTTCCATACCCTTGTCCACTTTAAGAAAGAGATCCTGGAGCTTTAGACATTTGAATTTTGATAATTATGAATAATCATATTATCAGATTTAAATGATAACAATAAAAATATTAATATCGAAATTCTAAATTATGCGTTTTGTGTTAGCAGCACTGTTATTCTGAAACAATCATATCACCGGTAAAATAAGTAAATCAAAAAGAAAACCCCGTCCAACTTAAGTCAAAAAGCTTTCTTTATATCTAAATAAATATTTAAAGACATAATACTAAAACATTTATGCCGTTTAGGTCTTTCGCGGCGCAATACCGACTGCAATTGGAATGCGAATCTTCCGCTCGGTTCGGTATTTTTCTTTGTAAAAATTTTATATATTTTTAAATTGTATTAAGCATATATATTTATGTATAACTATATAATATAATATTAATTCATAAATATGTATTAGCAAAAGTTTTACGACGGCGGGAATTATACCGACATAAGACGGACAAAATATTAAAAAATCGGTTCGAATGTGCACACAGTTCGGGTCAAAATTGTATATTTAAACACATCTAAAAATTATAAATATTTTAAAAATATAGATATAGATATAATTGTTAAACGTGCAATATCAAGGGTTAATGTCATGTTGGTGAGGGCTTAGACGACCAGTGCCACAAGACAGTCTAAATAGCCAAAGCTTTAAAGTGGTTTATTTTGTTAAAAAATCACTTTATTTATATTGTGATTTGTGTATACAGTCAAAATTATAAGATTCAAACAATAGATTTACAAATAAAATAATGAAAAAATGTAGGTCCACCTATAACAGTGATAATGAAATAAAACGCTTAATTAATCTTTTCTCTGTACTTTATTGTTAAATGATACATGTCTTTCTCAGCCGAAACTGAAGCTATTGAGTGCTTATATTACTGCCTTGTTGTATGATATAATTTACTTCAAAGGGAAGATTTACTAAGACTCAAGAGGATTTATTTCACATTGGATATTGTCGTCAATTAGCGCAATAAGTTTTAATTTGATTGTCAAGGTGTAATTAAATGATTTTTTGGGGGTCATCAGGATTTTTTAAAAATGATAATGGTTAATGGCACTTGCCGTCGGTTCGTTCCTCAGGGTGGTCTAGCTGAAGAAGGGACGTGACTGAGAACCTCCTCGTGTTCTCGGACGGGGTCGCCGGGTAGAGCTCATATCCAAGACCCAACATGACACTGTCAGCTGTCACAGGCAGACTCCTGGGCCAGGCTCTTTCTCAATCTTGCTCTCCCACCTAGTCGCCTCCCACCCAAAACATATGCGGCAAGTGCCAAAGAGGGAAATACGGGGTTTCCACGGTTCAGAGTGGCCGGGATGGGGTTTTTTCCCCGACGGTGACTCTACCCAGGGAGGCACGGTCATCGAATCGTGACATGGTCTGGGATGGACCCGGATCATCCATAGGGCGGATGGAATGCCGCGGAATGGTGGGAATCGAGCGCCACCTTTCCGCCATCTTATTTCTTCCATTTCTTCCTCCAACGGAGGAACCATTGTTTCTGCGGATAGGGTGGAGGCGTCCAAAATCTTCTTTTATACCCCTGTTAACTGATGCAGTATTTGAAAATGAATGACAACTTATTCGCCAATAAAATATTGACAGTAGAAGCTCAAAGATTAAAAAACAAATTGACAAGACGGGGAGCTCAGGAAAAGTAGAATAAACGGGGTTTCTATATGCACCCTTCAGTAGCTAGTGTATCCTCTGTCCCTACAGTACGCCGGTAAATATAATTCATCAAGGAATTTGATTATTACAGTACTCTTGACCACATCATTATAAAGTAGACAAAAGTCATCAAGATTATGTATAATAAAAAAAGAAAGAATGAGAATTCAATACAAAAAATAAACGATGATTTAACGACAGAACAAATATCTAAAGACTAAAGTTTTCTTCAAAACCATCGTTAGCCAAACCTACTTCCTTAGAAAACAGTTGAATGTTATACTGTAAAATATATTTTTAATGAAAAAAAGGAAAGAAAGAACCAATTACAAAAAGAAAGGTGAATTCGGGAGAGAATGGAAATGTCAACGTTTACTTCAAACTGTGGTCGGGTTTGCCCAACCAATAAAGTCAATCAACTTGACCATACCCACATGATTAGACACTAGACAAAAGCTCCTGCGACTAGGAGAGAAAAAGCCGCAAGCAAGATCAAGTGGGCGTCACCAATGGTCTGATCAGACATAGAGGCAATGAAAAAGTTGACATGTTGGCCAAAGAGTAAGCCATAGTGGACTCTCTAGGTCGCGAATCTTGCCATATCTTGCCACAAAAAAGATAAATCTTAAAATGGATCCTTAATCCCAAAACATGGTGGAGCAATACCAGGCATAAGGCACGCGAAGAGATTCATAGAAGAGCCATCCGCAAAACTTACAAAGTGATTACTGGAAGGCAACCGCAATCCAACCAGGATTCTGGTTGGACTCCTAACAGGGCACTGCTACTTAAGAAGGCACATGCACCGGATAGGAGTACAGACAAAAGAAACACTGCACAGATACTGCTAGGAAGAGGAGGAAACCGCAGAACACATTTTATATTTTTATGAAAGTCTTTGTAGGTTGCAACTAGGAGAGAAAAAGCCACAAGCAAGAACCTACTAGGAGCCGCTGGCAAGGCTATGGAGGTAGTTAACAACTTGAAGCTGTGATTTACAAAATTAGAGGAACACAATAGATCTACTCTGATCAAGGTGCAAAAGGCCTTGTGGCCACCTATTTTACCCTTACCCCTATCCTTCTTTATCAAGTCAGTGTTCTATTGGATTCATACCAGAAAAAATAATGGGTGACAACTCGAGCTACATGTGGTCGAGCATTGTCATGCTTTAACACGAAGTCGTCCGCGATAAATTGAGCGAATGGGGTCACAGTTTCCAGAATTACTTCCTCGATGCACCTTAGTCAAAGATCCTTTCTGTGTGATAATCAGTTCGGTAGGGCATGGTTTTGCTTCTACCCCATACCAAAAGCTATGACTGTCGAATAGTACAAAGCGTTTTCCACGTCTTCTTCAAACCCGATTCTGGTCATCTTGTGCGGCACGACCAGGACTTGTTCTAACGGACACTACTTCCATCGTTGGACAAATCATCTGACTGAAAAATCTCATCTTAAAACCATATTTTTAGTTAAAAACAATTAATGATTGCTTTTTTACTCAAATTTATTGTTTCATCAAAGAAAACCAAAAAATGAGTGTATATCGTATAAAATGAAGATTTCCCGTATATAAATATATAATTTTTATGAATGGCAAAGCAACGCAAGTGAATAATTTAATATTTTTCGTACTTATAAAGATTAAAATAGTAATCCTTAAAGCAAAAGGAAGGTAGTTAAACACATCTAGTTCAAAGTGGGTAGCATCAAATCCCTGAAACTTTAATAGAAAAAAATGTGAAAGTTTATAATAAAATTGTGACCTTTTCCAGTATTCAACACATTTTAGTCTACTAAAATAACTATTGTTATTTTATTAGGGATTAGTTTTAGTGTTATAAATATAATAAATGTAAAATTATTAACTATTTCCAGTGTCAAAAACAATAATTTATGATTAGTCCTGATAAAGGAAGCTTTAAGGGATTTGAAGTAAAAACAGATCATAAATCTAAATAAAAATTATTTTTACTTTTATCCATAGTGACAAGTAGTAGTATTTAAAACTAAAACAGAATATTTAAAGTTTATAATTTAATGTGTTTTGAGTCTGCTTAAGAATTGGTCTTCAGGCTTTCGATGAAGCCCACTGGGTCAAAATTGGACTTTTCTTCCACAGACTTTCTTTACGGGCGTTGTATAGTGGCCGAAGGACAAAACACAGCCAAGCCCGGGCTTGAATCCCCTTTCACCTGGTGTGACCTGATTCTTTTCAGTTTGAGATCCCATTTCTGTTTTTTTTAAGCAACAGGGGGCGTAGCTCAGATGGTAGAGCGCTCGCTTAGCATGCGAGAGGTACCGGGATCGATACCCGGCGCCTCCAGGACAATTTTTTTAAAACTTTTCCATATTCATGAATAAATTTGTGTTCATGGTTTTTTTTCTTCTTTACTGGCTTGTCAAATAAAAGGCCGGCACCTTACGTTAAACGTTTTATTTAAGTTAATAACAAGCCCTTTGGTTACTTTAGGCCGTAAGTTCACAAGTAGTGAATTAATCATGGGGATAAGTAGCCGTGATGTGTAATGGGGACATGAGTCGGGCCTTCCGCCGACACTTGACATCAAAGAGCCGACTGAGACTGACGGGCATCACGTCGTTTTTTTTTCCTTTTTGCCCCAACCCACAAAATCCAAGTGATTAACTAGACCTTCTTCAAAATGGATTCGAAATGTTTTATTTGTTTTTAATTTGTTTTATATTATTAAAACGCGTTGCGACTTAAAACGGCTTTACCTTGGCACGGGTTTTCAATTAGGTCCGACTTTTCTCTTTTATCTGTTCAATCAATTAATTTTTTACAAACTATTTAAAAACAAGGAACGATTTTGGTGTTGTGTTTAATTCATCGTGGAAAATATTTATCACAATAAAAAATGTCTATTTAAAATGAGTATCGAAAATAATAATTGATTCTATTAGTGTCGAGGTCACTAAGGAATTCTTTATCTAATAAAGATATAAAAGTGTCAGATTTCTCCATTATTTTCCTTCTTTGATGAACCTGTAATTTAGTAGTTACAAACACCAAAATATTCCCTGGAAATATTAATCGGTACGATAAAGAATAGGAAAGAAGAAGCTCCTATACAATAAAAAAGAAGAACTGCTATTGGTAAGACGGTACAGGAGCCACTGGATTTGCAGAAAAGACAAAAACCTTGTAGACTTTAGACAGTTCATGCAAGACAGTACAAAATCTCTGGATACGTCACAAAATTAATTTAAAAATTGACCAGTTTATCTTTCTCAAAATTGTCATACAAACTGCTCGTAATGAATAAGGATATTTGTAATTTATTCTATTATTATTATTCTATTAATTTTAATTAAATTAACCGATATATTTTTGTTAGTTGGGTAAAACAAAACAAAAAATACGAACCAAAAGACAAACAAATGTTAATCCCCAGTTTTAATAACGGATTCAAGATTTATTAAATGAAATTCGTATACTCCCCTTGACGTCAGAGGAATTTAAATTTTTGAGATTATTATAATCTCATTAATTAGTTATTAGAAACAAGGAGCTCAAGATTTTAGGTGACTTTTGTAAATAATCATCGTACATGGAGCCTAATTATAATAAAGATTAAAAACTATGCAGTCATAAAAATAAAGGATTCTCTTAATATAATTTTTATATAAGTTTTCATTTCAATTTAACTCTTTTTTTAAATAATTGAAAAACTTACGTGGACGGTATAAAATATAACCTTGCAAAGTGAAAATTAAGAAAAAATGAGGCATTTGTAATAAAAGACTGTAAATTTGAAAAATAAATAAAAGAAATTTATACATATGTTCAATTAAATTTTAAAATCAAGGATTCTTCAAATTAAAAGAAGTATTTTCAATAGTTTATTTCATACAGTTTTAAATTTTCGTAGTTTTTAAGAGCCAAATTATTTCATATTTAAAAAATATCGAATTAAAAGAATGATAATTTGGTTTAATTTTTAATTTTATATAATTTGTAATTTTAATTAATTTTCAAATGGCCTACTAAGAGCCCAATTATTTTATAATTATTTTTCAAATCTTACTTTAATTTTACTTTACGTGCTTACAATTCATACCATCTCCTAGTATTTTGATTTTTAAATTAAAAAAAAAAGTTTATTATTATATTGTTTTGCTTTAAGCAAACAACATTCACATAAAAAAATAAACACACACATATAGTATAAATACATGAGTACACATCATAAAACATAAGCGCGTACAAGGCGCTTCAAAAATTTTTAAAAGAAATAAAAAAGGAGATTTAAAGTAATTTTCCAGAATATAAAAACAAACTTTCATGCCTATGGTCTACTAATGTCAAAAAAAGTAGAATCACATAATAAATAAATTAATTAAAACAAGGAAAACAGAACAATTAAATAAAGAATGTTTTAAACGAATGGTTAATTTGAAATAAAAGAAACAGTTAATTTGAAGTTAAAAATGGTTAATTTGAAATTAAAAATGTTAATTTGAAGTTAAAAATGGTTAAGATGAAATTGAAAAGGCTTAATTTGAACTAAAAAAAAAAGGTTCAATTTATAATA